CCCATTAAGCAGTGACTAACTATATTAAAATAATTTGCTAAGGTTTGTATCACTTGGGCACTGAAGCTTAGTTTTGTCTTGAACTGGAATGGAACTCTTTTTCTCTTTGGAATGGCTAATTCCAGTTCTTGATATTGATGTTTGGTAACCTTTCCTTCTTTTCATTCAGAAACATGCCAATGTGACTGTAGGAAAGAATGGTGTCACCCACTGTCCTGATATAATTCATGTTTGTGCTTTTTATGATTTAGAATTTTTTTTTATTCATTTTCTTCCCTGGTTGTATATTTCTCATTGAAACACTATTTCAAAGAAGTTCTGTGGTTAATTAACATCATCATTAGAACAGGCTTAGGAGTCAGATTTATTTTTGTCCATGTTTTGTGCCTAATACAGTTGTTTGCATGTGTTAGTCAAATAGTAAATAAGTATGGAATGAATGAGTCACTGGTTTGAATGAATCCTGGGATTTGCTTCCTGAAAAATAAGTCTGTTATGGTCCTGAAATTCTTAGATTTTTTTCAGTAAGTCCGAATAAATGTAGTAGTATTTAAAGGAAAAAAAAAAAAAAAGGTCTGTTGGAACTGTATTGTTAATTTTCTGCCAAGTAATGATGAAGCAATTCTAAATGTTGACAGGTTTCAGGCTTTAAAACATCTGTATGTTCTGGGGCTAGATAATTTGTTTGATTTTTACCAATGTAAAATATTGAATTGTTCTAACAAGGAAAACTGGATACAGGCTTACATCATTAAATTTATTTCTCAAGTTCATAAGGTAAAGAGCAACTTTCAGATCTCAGTCTGGATTTATAATGTTACCTAGCTTAACACCTAGGCCTCTCCCCACCCCAGTAACCCCTCTATATGGAATCATAAATGTCAAAAAAGTCAGGGATAGAAATTACTGCTTCCCTTAGTACCTCAGAACTTCTCTGTAGATTTCAGGTGGTGTTAAACTGGCCATTTCCTTTAAGATAGAGGGTAGTGTCATAGTGGTTATAATGATTTTCTGTACAGATATTCCAGGGCATATGGTATGTTTGTTTTAATTTAGTAAGGTAAATTAAAATTTAGTAGTAAATTGTAAGTAGATGAGCCTTTAAGCTTGGATACACAGCAGTGCCCTGTGTTTGTCCATCGAACATTGTTGACTCATGAATGACACTTGAATGGTTACAGATTTACCTGTGCTGTGGACAGAGAGACTCCCCACTCCCAGTGAGTGAATGCATGAATAAGATGAATGAATGAAATTTCTGATTCTTTTGGTCTTTTAGAAATAGTCTTTGTTGACATTGTCAACACTTTGAACATACTTTATAATTTTGTTTTTTTCCTAGAACTATCTAATTGACTAGCTTAAGACCAAGAAACATTCCATTGATGCTAAACATTTAATAGCAGTGTCTGTATTGTATTACACTTAAGAGATTTGAACTTCTGTTTTCACTCAGATTTATAAAATAAGAGAATATAATGAAAATACTCAAAAAAATTGCACAGACAGATTGCTGTGAAGACAACATTGCTAAAACAAGTGCTGGTTGGCAGGCCACTTGGGAGCTCTTGAAATGTTTCTTCACTAACATTTTAGGGGTGTCAAGTGTTCAAAAGCCAAGTGTACCAAAGTCAAGGCAGTATGTCATTTGGTGGGTTGTGGGAAAGGGGAAAGTTAAAATTTTCTTGATTGCTAGTTCTCTTTAAGGAGAGGCTTGGTGGAGTGGAATCAACTCTTTTCAAAGTAGTTTTAAAATGATCCACTAGCTCCTTTGTATTACTGACTGACCAAAAGAATTTTACCTGCTAATTACATCTCAAACTTCTCTGGTCTTCCCCATGGTTATTGTAAAGCATGTGAGATGAGTAGAGAATATGATAATCTTAAAAATACAAGTGAGATAATCTCTTCCATTGGTAATAGTTTCTATTTTTGTTTTTTTACTCATTTGGGTTCAGAGCAAGAAATACTGGATTCAGGGAGAGTTACTTTCTTATTTTTAGAAAATCAGATTTATATTTCGAACATTTATTGATTTTCTTTTTTTAAGAAAGTTATAGTGTGGAAGATTCTTGTATTACTTGCTAGGGCTGCCATAAAAAAATAACCAGGCAGTGGGTGCTTAAGCAACAGGAATTAATTTTCTCACAGTTCTAGAGGCTAGAAGTCTGAGATTAAGGTGTCAGCAGGTTTGGTTTCATCTGAGGACTCTTTCGTTGGCTTGCAGATAGCTGCCCCTGCCTTCTCCCTGTGTCTTCACATGATATTATTCTTTCTGTGTGTACCTATGTCCTAAGTTCAGCTTCTTATAAGAACACCATTCATATTGGATCAAGTCCCACCCTAATGACCTCATTTTAACATGATTACCTCTTTGAAGACCCTAGCTCCGAATATAGTCACATTCTGAGTATGAGGGGCTAGAACTTAACATACAAATTTGGGGGGACACAATGCAGTCCATAGCAATTATGTATCAGGGATGTCACTTTCAGAGCAGGAAGATAAGTTAGGAAGGTATTCAAGAATTTCAAGTGAGAAATGAAGAGAAACTAAACCTAAGGCATTGACAGTAGAAATATAAATGAGATTGGAGATTAGCATGATGAATGGTTCTCCAATCCCCTCACTTTCAATCTGGAGGTGTCTTTGGGTCTCAGATGAGTCTCTTGTAAGCAGCATATCCATGGATCTTGTTTTTTTATCCATTGGGATACCATGTGTCTTTGGAGTATTGAGTCTGTTTACATTCAGAGTAATTATTGATGGATATGAATTTAGTGCCATTGTATAACCTGTAAAGTCACTGTTCCTGTAGATTGTCTCTGTTCCTTTCTATGTTGCTTTTCCTCTCTCTTGCCTGCTCAAAGGGTCTCCTTTAATATTTCTCTCAAAGCTGGTTTAGTGTTCACAAACTCCTTTAGTTTTTGCTTGTTTTGGAAACTCTCTCTCCTTCTGTTCTCTTGCTGGATAAAGTATTCTTGGCTGTGTATTTTTCCCATTTAGCATGTTGAATATATCATGCCACTTTCTTCTGGCCTGCCAAGTTTCTGTGGACAGGTCTGCTACTAACCTTATGTGTCTGCCCTTGTTGATTTAGAACCTTTTGTCCCTAGCTGCTTTCAGAATTCTCTTTATCTTTGTATTTTGCAAGTTTCACTCTGATATGTCTTGATGTTGATCTGTTTTTTTTTTAATTTGAGGCGAGTTCTCTGTGCCTTTTGGACTTGAATGCCTGTTTCCTCCCCCAGATTGGGGAAGTTCTCAGCTATAATTTGTTGAAATAAACCTACTGCCCTTTTTTCTCACTCTTCTTCTGGGACTCCTATGATATGGATATTGTTGCGCTTTATGGAATTGCTGAGTTCCCTAAGTCTGTATTTGTGACCTAATAGTTTTCTTTCCCTCTTCAGTTTCATTATTTTCCGTAATTTTATCTTCTATATCACCTATTCATTCCTCTGCTTCTGCCATCCTCGTTGTGATTATATCCAATTGGTTTTGCATCTCAGTTATAGCATTTTTTATTTCAGCCTGACTAGTTTTTAGGTCTTTTATCTCTACAAGATGGGGGTTTCTCTGGTGTCTTTTATGCATTTCCCAAGCCCAGCTAGTATTCATATGACTGTTGTTCTAAATTCTTGTTCAGACATATTACGTATATCTGTTTTGAGCAAATCCCTGGCTGTGATTTTTTCTTGATCTTTCTTTTGGGGAAAATTCCTCTGTCTTGTCATTTTGTCTAGGTTTCTGTCTTTTGCATGTTATGAAATCTTGTTATGTTTTCTGCTCCTGAGAGTAATGCTATATTAAGAAGGGGGTCATACACTGTCCAGGGCCTGGTGCTTCAGGAAATGTTTCTGGTGTATGCTGTGTGCACTCTGCTCTTGGTGTTTTGGCTACTCTTTCCCACAGGTCAGTCCTCTGCAGAGTTCCTCCTTGCTTGCAGTGGGGAGTGTTTGGACCTTTAACTAAGTGTGCTTTGATTTGTTTGTTAAAATAAGCCTGGAAAAGAAAAAAGAAAAAACCTGATCTAAGACAAAAGGAAAATGAACAAAAATACCAACAGACAGACAAAAAACTAAGTCTGACTCCAAAGAAAAAGAAAGAAAAAAGAAAGTTTGATCCAAAAAATGAAGAAAGGAAACAAACAAAAAACTATAAGCCTGATTCTAAAGGAAAAAAAAAAAAAAAAGAAAGAAAGCCCAGTCCTATTTCCAGCAGAACTGAAGCCAACACTTTGGAGCACTGTATGATCAGTAGACTTGGTACCTGCAGGGGGCCTGTGTTGGTCCTCTGGGGGAGAGGCCCACTGCACTGGTGGCTCACAGTCAGACCTGCCCTAGCAAAGATGCCCCTGCCAGTGCAGGGGGGTGGGGTTTGGTGTAAGTGGCTCCAGCCTCTCTGGGGGCGCTGTGTTGCTTGCTTGTTTGCTGAAGTCTGACTGTGCTTGTGGGTGGGGGTAGGGGCGTGGAGATTGGAGCTTGAGAGACGTTAAACAGGAAGAATTTGATACAAGACTTTGTGACTAAAGGTGGAAGAGGCTAGCATGACTCTCAGATTTCTCTAATCCAGGAGGAGAAACAGCCTTGAGGGAATAGGTGTGAGCTGTGGGATATCCCTGTTGAGTACCCAACACTTTGACAGCCAGACGACCTGGGTGGGGTCAGCTATCCCACTTCCTTCTTCCTGATCCTACAGTGGCTCCTTACGGCATGGACCACCTCAGATAAAACTCAACATGCAGTTTCTTGCCTCTGAACCTCCATTTGAATGTATCTTAAGACACCTAGAGCTCTTTTATTTTTAGTTAATTCCAAATTCCTGTTCTTGTTAACTTAAGTTCCATTAAGGCAAGGACTACTGTGTCATTCATTTTTTCTAGTACATAGTAGTTTGGGCTCAGCAAATTCTAGTTGAGGGAATGATTGTCAGGAGGATTGTTATGAGTAATTACTTATTCTCTGCACATTTTAATCACCTGTTTCATTTTCTTGCAGAATGAGAAGACTTTGGGACATTCCATGAGTCATTCAAGTAACATTTCTAAGGTAGAGTGCCAGTGAAGTATGTTATTTTCATAGTTTGGTTTCTTCTATCTTGCATGTGTGTATACTCTTTACTTTTCAATATGTGAAGTTATTGATACAGTTCTTTAATCTGCTCTAGGACCATACAGTGAGGTATATGGCTGTTACGTTTTTCTAGCGAGGCAATTCTGAATGTGTGTTGAGGTTAGTGACTAATAGGAGAACACCCTGTTTCTTCCAGTGGAAATCATTTACTCTCAGGTTAAAAAAAAATCTCAGTCACCAGAGAAACGTCCCCTCAGTTAAGAGTGCATTTGACTGACAGTAACAAAAATCCAGCTCTGGTGACCTCAGTAGTTATGGATTTATGTGGTCCTGATGACAAAGTGTGTCTGGAGGTAGGTGGTTCAAGGTTGATGCAGCTGCTCACAGGTGGTATCAGGGACTCAGGCACTTTTTGTCTTCTCTGTGCCACCTTCCTTAGCACTTTGTCATCCTCATGTTTTAGTGCCTCGTGGCCTTAAGATGGGAGCTGGACCTCCAGGTACCATGGCCGTGGCCTTGGCAGGAATAAGAAGAATGATGAAGGATGGTGGGGTCTGTCAGCTGGGAGTGACCCTTTTCAGCGGGAAGGCAAAAAACTTCCCCAGAAGCCCCACCCAGCTGCCTGACTTCTTACATTTCACTGGCCAGAACTGGATCACAGAGCTACCTCCAGCTGGAAAGTGCCTAGGAAAATGAGGGCTGAGAGGGTGAATTGGCCATCCAGCAGCACCGGACATACCTGTGGTGTAGTCACTCGACTAGCCTGTCAGGAGCATATCAGCTGCTATGGGTGACCCAGGAGCCAGCAGGCAAACTTGTTTGCAGGCACCGCTCATTTCTCAGCCCAGACATGGGCTCCGGCCACCTTGTCATCCGTGCAGTATGTCCATGTAGGTTCCTTGCAGAGAGGGGTCTTCTCCCCATGTCTTTGTCAGCCAGCCAAACACTGACACAGATCCTGACAGGAGGATCTGAACAATGTGACAAAACATGTCCTTCTGTCTCAGGCCTCCTGAGTACTCAGAAATAAACAGCCACATTATACGCCATTTTAATTTTCAAACTATACAGATACTGTCATTTATATCACCCTATTTTTTTTTTTTTAACTAAAAAGTAGAATCTAGCAAATCCTTTGAGACAATCAGTCTGTTCTTAGGCATATTTCTGATCTCACCATATCATCCATCCACTTAATTTTGCATAAAAAGAAAAGTCCATAGTGCTCAATATGACACTGAAGGCTATGTAGAGTGCTCCTTGGTGCATTCCTGATCCAAGGAATCCTACAGTGAGAACAGTCTTTCAAGCCACAGGCTTTGGCCATCTCAAATGAATACTTTTCAACAAATAATCCCTCCTGTTCCAACCTCCATTTCTTTTCTTTTGCTCTTCCTTCAGCTAGGAATATGGGAGTTAATAGAACTGTGTAGTGGTAGATCATTACTGTCTGCGTTAAAAGGCCAGTTTTGTCCTACCACCTTTGAAGGAGCTGTCCAACGTTTAAGCATCGAGAAAAGTGAAAAGATGCAGGTCCAGATGGCCTGTCTGGTTAGGTTGAATTAAACATTTTAAAAGTACATAGTAGCCCCTATTGCCTTGCCCCAATGATGAGGGCAGTTCTGAAGGAGTCAATGTTACAGAGTGATGGGGTGTCTCATTCAGTGTTTGTTAGAGGCTCCCCATGTTTTGTTGTAGCCTCAGAAACCATGCTCCCCTTTCAAAGAAGGAAACAGGCAGGTTAGGTGGAATGTGGGAGAGGTGGCTAGACGGCTCCTCTGGCTTTAAAATGGGCGTCCAGGTGCGATCCTCTTAGTTAAATTAAGGGAGAATATTGGAACATTTAAGCAGTTTTGATCGCAAAGTCTTCACCCAGTACTTGGTTTTGCATTAATGGTAATGACGTTAAGCGGGTACTCTGTTGTATTTCGTTTACCCATAAATCTTCAGAGTGAGGTGATATGCTTCCCTGTCCAGGGGAACTGTACCACAATTGCCCCCCACCTAAAGGCTCTCTTATCGCCCCACGCAAGATATTCTCAGCATTGAGGTATTGTCATCTGTAACATAGACAAGGGGGCCCAGTGCAGCATATACGAGGATTACATAAATTCAGATTTTGTCCCACCCTTAACTAACTCTATGCCAAGCATTGTGCTCTGAATGCTGAATCAAACAGGAAAGAGATGAGTAAGCAGACCTCCAGAAAATACAGGCAGCTGGGGAGAATTATTATGAAGGTAAAAGACAAGGGGCTGAGGTAGAGAATGACAAGGAACCAAAATTTAGAAGGGCTGCTTGGGGAAGGTGTGGCTGAGGAGGGGCTACTTACAGCAGGACATAAACAGTGAAAAGGTACCAGCCAGGATGGGATTAAACTGTAGAAAATGGTTGTCACCTCCCTGAGAAATCCAAAACAATAGGTAGAAATGAAAGGCAGATGTGCTGGGAGTGATGACTGTCATAGCTGTGCCCAACTGCAGGGGGCCTGTCAACCATGTTGGCTGGGGGCACTCCAGTGAGGACCACTGCACTTTGGCCTAAAACTCTTTAGAGGGAGGCTGGAATTCCCTGGGGGTGCTTGAGCTCAGTCCGACTGGAATTTTTTCAGGCACCAGGAATTTGCTTAGGCCACGCTCATTGTAGAGACTGGACTTTCTAGAGCCTCTGCTCAGGCCTCTCTTAGCACACGGACATGGCATTAGTTTACCTTGAGGGACGCATTCTCACTTGACCCTGAGAATTGAACTTGGTCCAGGTGGCACAATTTCTCGATCAAGTTCATGATTGGTAGCACTATACGGAGATGGTAGTGAAAAGCTAGACATACATCATGAAAACTGGAGCACGGGTACTGGGGTACTGTCCTTTCTGCAGTCAGGCAATTAGTCTTACTAGGCTCTGACATTTGCTGAAGGCTGGTACCTGGTAGAATATTTTAGAGCTCTGTGTAGTTTTATTCAGATACCATAAGCGTTATGTGCCTCTGGTTAATCAGATATTCCTGGGTCCAAGTCAGACCAGACCTGTTGAGCGGGCACCTAATAAAATTATTGCTGTTCTATTGTTTGGCAAGGAGATCTGAGTGAATTTAAGCATTGGCTCTCCTAGATCTCTTGAATATTTTCTAGTTATTGCTGCCATTAGATAGGAATGAGTTATAGTAGAATGTCATGTGTAGATGTACATACAGCCTTAGGAAGGAGGCCACACTGTGGTATGGTTGTCAAGACTGGTGTCTGCTTCTCTGTGTTTCTAAATACAAAGTTGACCAGTGACAGACTTAGGTTGCTCAGACTTATAGGTTAAGTACAAGCCAAAATATACCTTTCTTAATTTATATTGAAGAAAACGTCTATCCCAAAGACAAGATACTTTCCTGTGGCAGGAACAGGGAAGTGACTCGGAGGAGTTGAGTGGCATCACCAACAGGTGTAGCCTCACTTAGGATCCTGATGTAGTGCCATGGGCACTGTTTTGCTCTTTGGCTCACCTTTTGCAGAGATTGACCATGTTTTCATATATATTTTTTCTTCTGACTGCTTATAATTTCATTTTTGGCTAAAGCTTTAGACCAGCGGTTTTTAAAACTTAGTTCTGAGTCTTCTTGAGGGGGAAGGGGCAAGGTTAAAACCAGTGTCATAATAACACTAGCAGATTATTTAATTGCCTTTTCACTCTTACTCTCTCATGAGTGTACAGTGGAGCTTCCCGGGGCCATGTAGCATCTGAGATGACATCTTCTCTCTGACACTAATGGAATGTGTGCTGGTGGCCTTGTGTTTTAAAGTTTTCTTTTCTTTTTAGAAAGAGAGAGGAGGGTGAGGGGCAGAAGGAGAGGGAAAGAGTGAATCTTAAGCAGGCTCCATGCCCAGCGAGGAGCCAGACTCAGGGCTCAGTTCTCACGACCCTGAGATCATGACCTGAGCTGAAATCAAGAGTTGGACACTTAATTGACTGAGCCACCCAGGTGCCCCTTTTGTTTTAAAGTTTTCTAATATAGTAAAGATTGACCGATGTAACCCACATAAACACAAGCTCTTTGGGGGCCTCAGTAATTTTTTAGAGCATAAAGGGGTCCTGAGACCAACCAACAAGTTGGAGAACCTGTTTTACACCTATGAATAGGCAGTCACTGCAGAGTGCACTTGTTTTATTAAAACATTCAAATTCCTTGAACACCTACTGTGTGTCAGGCACTGTGCTAGGCTAAACAGCAGCGGCTTCTGAGTCAGCATATTATTCCAGAAACATCTTTTTATAAACCTTGATAAGTGCTATGAAAGAAAAGAATGGGGTTACAAGGACAGTGAAAAGCCCCTTTTGAGGAGAAATCTTAGGAGGGGCTGGTCATGCTGGATGGGGTGTGGGAGCATCCTCAGGAAGAGCAAGGGGGTGTGGGGTGCTGGGTGACCCAACACCATGATTTTGGATCTCTTTATGGTTACACTTGTACTTTCTGGGAATGTGAAGTTATCTTTGCTCAGAAATCATTGCCTTTAATGTAATTTATTGAAAACCAGCAATATTTGTAAGGTTCCCAACAACAGCTAAAAGCCTGCTTTGGAAAATGAGCTATGAGAAAGTCCCCTCAGTGGTTCCTTTGCCTCTAACAGTGCTGTGATATATGCGCCTCATTGTGCTGGGGATGTAGTATTATTCCCATAATTCTAACTCTCTCTAAAAGGCCACCGTAGAAAAGAATTCAATGTTAGCACTACTTGCTAGGCAGTAATGAGAGTCATTTATAATGGAACTCATTTGAGAATTCAGTAGTTTTTATTGTACACTCTCCTCCATGAATCCTATATTGTATATGTTCTATATTTACTTTCTTAATGGTCAGTTTTAATTAATTGCCGTTGTGAAAGCTTGTTCTTGGCACATGCCTTCATCAAGAGTCAACATGTATTTATCAGAGCAGCCACAGAACTGGCTCTCCTTCAATTGTAGCTCATTTTCAAAGTTGAATACAA